ATTCCAGCAACTGTTCTTTATATGTTTTAGCCTCCAGTCCCCTAATCCTCTTTGTTGCTCCTCTTTGTACTCTTTCTAGAGTCTCAACATCTTTTTTACATCGTGGTGACCAAAACTGGATGCAGTATTCCAAGTGTGGCTTTACCAAGGCATTGTAAAGTGGTATTAATACTTCATGTGATCTTGATTCTATCCCTCTGTTAATGCAGCCTAGCACTGTGTTGGATTTTTTGGCAGCTGCAGCACACTGCTGGCTCATATTTAAATGATTGTCCATTAGGACTCCGAGATCCCTCTCACAGTTACTACTATTGAGCAAGGTACCCCCTATACTATACCTGTACATTTGGTTTTTCTTGCTAAATGTAGAACCTTGCTTTTTTTCACCATTGAATTTCATTTTGTTAGATAGTGCCCAGTGTTCAAGTCTGTCCAGATCCTCCTGTATCCTAAGCCTGTCTTTTGGCTATTCCTGCCAGCTTGGTGTTGTCTGCAAATTTGATGAGTTCCTCATCTATCCCCTTGTTCAGATCGTTGATGAAGATGTTGAAGAGCACTGGGCCCAGAACAGAGCCCTGGGGCATCCCACTACACGCTTCCCTCTATGTAGATGCGGTTCCATTGAGGACCACATGCTGAGTACAGCTGGTCAGCCAGCTATGGATCCATCTGGTGGTGATGCTGTCTAACCTGCATTTTTCTATCTTATCAAGTAGTAGGTTGTTGATCTACTTTGTCAAATGCCTTACTTAAGTCCAAGTAAATTATATCCATAGCATTCCTCTGGTCCACTAATTTTGTCATTTGGTGAAAGAATGCAATAAGATTTGTCTGGCATGATGTGTTTTTGACAAACCCATGCTGGCTTTTAGTAATGACTTTGTTTGCCTGTAGGTGTTCACTGATTCATTGTTTGATTATCTTTTCAGAATCTTCCCAGGTATTGAGGTCAGGCTGATAGGTCTATAATTTCCTGGGTCTTTCCCTCCCCCCCTTTTTTGAAGATGGGAACTACATCAGCTCTTTTCCAGTCTTCTGGTAGTTCCCCAGTGCTCCAGGATCTTTGAAAAATATAGTTCAGTGGTTTTGAAATCATATCAACCATCTGGTCCTGGTGATTTGAACTCGTCTAGGCTGGACAGGTGTTCACTTACCATTTTCTTGCCTATCTTAACTTGTATTTCTATTTTGTTTTTTAGGGCACTATTTTTGATAGGTTGGTCTGTTTTTTCCCTTTGTATAAAGACCGATGTGAAAAACGAATTAAATAGTTCTGCTTTCTCCCTGTTGCTTGTCACCTTCTTGCCACTTTCACCCACTAATGGGCCAATCGTTTCCTTCACTTTTTTCTTGTTTTTTACATGTTGAAAGAAGCTTTTTTTTCTTATTTTTGACTTTGGTTACAAGCCTTAGTTCATTTTGAGCCTTAGCTTTCCTCACTTCATCTTTGCAGGCTCGGGCTATTTGCTGATATTCTGACTTAGTTATGTGTCCCTCTTTCCACTGTCTATACTTGTTCTTTTTATCTTTCAATTGATCAGAGAGTTCTTTATGCAGCCATGCTGGTTTCTTTTGAGAGCTGCTATTTTTCCTCTTTGTTGGTATTGTGCTAGACTGGGCCTTTATTATCTCACTTTTCAAAATTTCCCATGACTCTTGAGTTGTTTTCCCCTGGAGGATTCTCATTCATGGAATCCTTCCCAAGCCCTCTCTAAGTTTATTGAAATTAGCTCTCTTGAAGTCCAAGACTCTAGTTTGACTGTGTTCTATTGCTTGTGCTTCCATAATGTTGAATTCCAGTATTGCATGATCACTTCCTCCCAAGGTTCCTATGGCTTCAACACCTTCTATCATTTCATCTCTGTTAATGAGAATTAGGTCCAAAATGGCTAATCCCCTAGTTCCCTTCTCTATTTTTTGGGAGACAAAGTTGTCTGCTAGGTTTTTCAGGAATCTGTTTGATCTTCCACTTGGTGCAGAGTTTGTCTCCCAGTTGATGTCAGGGTAGTTAAAGTCCCCCATTACTATTGTGATGTGCTTCCTACATAACTTAGTTAGCTGACTAGCAAAAAGTTCATCTGTTTCCTGTGTTTGGTTGGATGGCCTATAGTATACACCTATGGCAATGTCGTTTCCCCCCCCCCTTTTATATTGACCCATATGCATTCAGGACAGTTTTCATCATTGTCGTGCTCTGTTTCTGTAGAGATGTAGTTATTTCTTATAGAGAGAGCAACTCCACCTCCTCTTTTATTAGGTCTGTTTCTTTTAAATAATTTAAATCCCTCTAGCTGTGTGTTCCATTTGTGGGTTTCATCCCACCATGTTTCAATGGCAACAATATCATATGTCCCCTCATTAACCTGAATTTCTAGTTCACCCTGTTTGCTGTTCGTACTCTGTGCATTTGTGTATAGACATTTGAGTCCTTTATGACCAACCCTGTGTCTACTTACTACATAACATGTGTGGTGCCTGAGTTCCCCTAATGTCTTACCACCTATTTGGTTAGTGCACTTTGTGTGGCACTCGCTATTAAGAGCTTGATTTTGCTTGACAGCAAGGTTGATGTTCTTGTCCACACACACATCTATGTTACATGCACTGATAGCCCTATAATTTTTAGATTGCCGGGGACAGGGATGTTCTGTATCAGTTAGCTCACTGTCCCCAAGCTGACTGTCTTGAAATCAATGATGCCTCTGACCTTATGTGCAATTAGAGTCACTACCACCAACACCACTACCATCATATACAGAAACATGCTCGCATTTCTTTGATTTCTGACCTGGTCCTTGGTAATTTGAGATCCAGAAACATCAGTATGTACCTCTTGACAAACTTGTTTCTGACAACAACCACAAGAAATCAGAGAGCACTTTCTACTTTGTTTATTTGAAAGATGTATATAGCCACCCACCTTATATGTCCTAAACTTGGATGGCACACATAACAATGATAAAACATTTTAAAAAGCTAACCATAAAGTGAGAAAAAACCCTGATGCCTCAAAAGCAAGGTCTCCTCCATACATCCATGTTCAATTTCACTAGATCTCAGCCTCACTCAACCCACACTTGTGGGAAGGGCCAGCTCTTCAAGTTCTTCTAAAAGACAAGAAGGGTGGAGGCCTCCTAGATATCAAAGGAGTGAGCAGTCCATAGGGAAAGGGCACCCACAGAGGAGGAGCACTTCCTGTGCCCCAAAAGAATAAAACATTTTTGGGAAGGAATCTGGCACATACCTCCCCCCATATGACCTAGTAGGACAGATAAATATCCTCAAGGAGAAGCAGTCCATCAAATAACCTGACCGCATGACATTCATAGTTTAAAGGTGATAACCAGAACCTCACCAACATCCCTTATACTTTACTACTTTTAACCCAAAGGGACCCATCCAACCCAGTGGTGGGTTTCAAATATGTAAACAACCGGTTCTCTGTGTGAATGCCACTTCCGAAAGTCCATTCTGGGCCTGGGCAACAAAAAATTAGCTGCCAAAGAGGTGCGAACCAGCTGAATCCCACCACTGATCCAACCCAACCCAAATAAATACCAGACAGAAAAGCTCACATTTCTATTCGTTATACTGTATAGTCTTTCCAGGAAAATCATACCAATTCCCCCGATTGTATGAATTTCCTGCCTGTAGCAATTCTGGTGAATGTCAGAACCATCCTGCTAGATCAGAAAAGCAAAGATGGATTTAAAAACCGAGTATCTGTTCCTATCAGCTGTCAACAATAGTTAACCTTCAGAAACTCATAAGTACCACATGGAAAGAACAAAACCCCGCATGGCTATTTGAAAGAACCGTTTCCTCCTCTTCTTCCCAGTTTCTATGCTTCACGTCCTGCAGGAGATAGCCTCCCTTTGCAGTTCCTCTCAATGGCTCTAATCAAATGAGCAGATCTGAACTTGAAAAGGATGCCTTTTCTTCAAGAGGTGGCACATTTTCTTTCTTTTGTGAGGAATGTAGGTGAATGGATTTCTGTTTCTGTAGTGAGGAATGAGCAATGAGCTTTTTTGTTCTCATGCAGAACATACAGTTTATATATTATCCAACTTCTTGGTTTTTGCCAAGAAGTTCCTGGAAGGTCAGACTTTCACTGTCACAACAATAGATTTGAACTCTCCAGGAATTCAACAGTCAGTTTTCTGTTCAATGTCTATAGAATGATTCTGCCTGGAGTATTCCAAATGCTTGTCAGTATAATACATTTACCTCCTAAGTGGGAAAATGTGGCTATTAGTATGTTGCAAGGTAGTCTCCAGATCTTGCCTAGAGTGACCTAAGAATGAAAGTACAACTTCAAGATGAGAAAGTATGACTCTTACAAGAAAACACATTGGAAGATAAATTAATCACCCAACAGAATGAATGAAAAGTGAACTTTAAAAGAAGCATACGGATGCTGTTTCTCACAGAAAAACAAGTGGAAAAAACTATGTTATAGTGTGACGCAGAAGTGCATGCTAATGAGAAATGTGAAAGGAATGTTTCACTAATGAAGTAAAAAATCAAGGGAGATTCACAAAGATAGATATGGAGAGATATAATGGAGATGTTGCTGTAAACTAGACATAGTTATGCTTCCCTTCCTTCCTGCTTGTCTTCATGTCTTAATTTCTCTATATTGCTATGTTGTTACTCCTCTTCTGTCTTTACTACAAAGACAAAAATGTGACATATATATTCTTACTGATCTGAGAATCTTTGGTTCCTGCCTTCCCAATTTCAATCCTTCTGTGGAATCATGAATCTGGCAGCTTCTAGAGGAAAATTACCAAAATATTTGCCAAATTTTGCCAAAGGAATTACCCATGAGGGAGAAGATAGACAAATGACAATACTTTTGTGACTACATTAGCATGCAATACATACTTGCATCAGACATTGACATGTATCCAAGACGACGATTTGTGTGATGTTGTCACTGCATTTATGTCATTGTGCTGCCAACATCACAGTTTTCTGTAGACATTGTTGATGGCTGGCTTAAACTCAGGGGCTGGAAGGCAGTGTCAAGTGAGAGGCCAGTGTTTTACAAAGATTATGAGACCAAGCCAAAAGTAACTAGGATGAAGACTGAATTCACTGGTAAGGTTGCCTATGAAATCTTCTCAAAAGATTAAATTCAGAGTGTGGGAGGCTGGATGAAGCAAGTATCCCCACAAATGAAATTACAGTATAATTTTGCCAAAACCTATGATTGCAAACAAATATTTACATTACAATTACATGGTTGTACAATGATCAGTGTTTCATATAGTGAAAGAAGAACTGCATGATTTGAACCGCACTACAACTTACATAAGAAAAGTAAGCTTGGTCATCCAAAAAGAAAAATGTTACTTGTTCTGGGGGAAGCAGTGCTGATGCATGAGCATGCCTAAACTCAGTGTGGAAGAACTTCTTTTTCACTTTGCTTAGCCTTAGATTAATCTTGGTACTAAGAACTGGGCTGTTTCTGGCAGCTGAAAATATAGTCCTATGACAATTTAACTTTAGTGTGACATCAGTGTTACTAATGACTTTTATTAGGACCATGAATATTGTGATGGTTATAGGGGAAAGCTGTGATGCACTGAATGTAAAGTTATTAACTACTTCAGAGCAAAATATAAGATGAAGGAATAACAAATTGCCCTTTTAGAAATCTGTCATGTTGGAAATTTATTCATTAGACCAGGAGTGTTTAACTGGCAGCCCACGGGCCGGATGTGTCACGCACAGGCCATGCCCACCCTGGCTCCGCAAAGACAAAAAACACCACAATATGTCACAATATGACATGTGACATGATCAAGTTTCACACAAGTGCATTAGACGATTGGATTTCCAGATTGGATTTGGCTAACAATGTCTATTTTACAATTCAATATAAGCAATTATAGCTCATTAGAGTACTGAAATAAAGCAGGGATCAAAATAGTTCATTATTTGTACAGGACTATTTCCCCACATAATATAAATAATACAGATCCTGCAAATCTTCCACCAGGTTGAGAAAGTGCTTGCCTGCAAAACCTGATACTATGTCATTTACATCACTTTTAGAATGGCATTTTATACAAGTGCTTGTTTCTGTGTTTCCTTGCTGCTCTCTGCCTGTCTTGATTTTTGCAGTCCAGATCCCATAGCCCTATACATGCAGGAGATAGGAGATCTTGATGGCCAGCCAGTTCTTCCCACAGTCCAACAACTCAGATTTTTAAGAATGCAAACACGGGTGGGAGTAGCCATTCACCCTTTTCTTATGAGAATGGGGATGGGGAGGACAAGGAGCTCAGGTTATGAGGCACTGACTGAATTGTGATTCTTGCAATCTCCCATTCATCATTTGGAAGCCACTCCGATAGCTTTACAATGTTTTCTGCCAATTCTCAGGGCTCCAAGTTCAGCAGGAATGAAGATGATTGCAGGATTGAGGAGCAGGAACAGTACTGCAAAGAAATGCCCAATAACTATGATATAGGCCAGTGGTTCTCAACCTGTGGGTCGGGACCCCATTTGGGGTCAAATGACCATTTCACGGGGGTTGCCAAACAACACAGTCCGTCATTTTCCCCCTTTTCCTTAGCTGTGCTACTCCCTTTTATTCTATTGGCTTTTGAAAGCCAATAGAATAGACTCTCTTGAATAGAGTCTAATTCTATTGGCTTTCAAAAGCCAATAGGAATTGTCCAGGCTGTCTCTGCCCTGCTGAGCCCGCCAAAAGTCCCATTCTGCAAACGGTGCTGCAAGTTGTCTGCAGCAAAGGCGAGCTGTCTGGAAGCTTCCACCTCTCCCTGCTGAGCAACTATTAAAAATGTAAGTAAAAGAGGGCCAGGGGTGAGAAGTGGGAGGCCAGCGGGCACAGGGAGGGTTGCTGGCGCGCGTGGGGCCCGGCGGGTGCCTTACCTCCCTTGGGCTGGGCCAGCTGGTGGCCCAGCCGGTGGTCAGCCTGTGCCATCCCTGCCGCTTGCCAGCTACGCCTCGGCCAGCACAGGTGGCGGCACCACGCATGCGCAGTGCTCCCGGGCAGGGAAAGTCCTCAACTTATGACCGGTTGGGTAGTCCTCAACTTACAACCGGTTGGGGGTTGCGGCATTAAAAAGGTTGAGAACCACTGATATAGGCAATCTAGTGCCCTCTAGAAATTTTAAATATAATTCCGAGACTCCCCAACTACTGGTCATTGTCATGTCTTCCTCTGATAAGGAGGATTTGACATCTCTTCAGGATCAGGAATGCAGGAGACAAGAACACCTCAGCCAATTCTTGGTGGGGGAGGAAACCTTGAGAAAACCATTTCTCATAAAGAAAATATTGCTCACAGCTCAGGTGATGAACTGGTAGTAGCCACTCCTTCTCCGGGTCTTAGAGAGCAATGGCAACCTGCAGCGACTGGAATGAAGTCAAAGTGAATATCTGAAGTTCATTGCTGGCAAGGACAGAAGTTCTCCTGCAGGATAATTAGGTAACTCATAGAGAGGATGCCCTGCTTTGCAGATTTATGTCTACCCTTTGACTTCCCACAGCGATACTTGCAACTGAGCTTCTTCCCTGAATAATTTGTGAATCTCTATTGTGTAACTGTAACCATGAAAAAGGACAAGACTTTTGCCCATCTCTTCTCAACATCTTTTTCGGAACAAACTGCTGCCATAAAACTCTATGAAGTATCTAATTTTGAAGTACAGGCTATGCTGTTAGTAAGCGGCTATTAAACTTGGATGCCCTCCTCAACTTCTCTTTTCTTTCTCTTTTCTCTTGACTTGTTTATGGAGATTCTCAGTCATCCAGGTCATGGATGTCCCAAAGGTGCTTTTTCAAAAGGCAACTGGACTTTCTTTGTTTTTCCTTGAAGACATTTCACTTCTCATCCAAGACGCTTCTTCAGTTCTGAATGAATGGTGAAGAATGGAAGGATTTATATTCCTTGCAGTCATCTGGTCATTTTCTTTTGACTTATTACTAAAGTAAATCATAGTCACATGACTACATGCCTATAGACAAGTATGCAGACAAGAGCTCTGGGAAGTTTGAAAAGGCCTCTGTTTAAGGTACTGCCTCTCCCTGATTATGTCTGTCTGTCCCTTGAGATCTGGCAGAAAGACATGCTCCAGGTTCTGTTTATTAGGATGTGCCATCTGGCAGGACTCAGAAAGTCAGTCTTTTCTGTCATGGCATTTGCCCTTTGGAATATCATACCCCAAAGATTAGATGGGCATTGTTGTCTTTCCATAAAGTCAAAGATATGGTTGTATCACTGAGGCTGGGGATCTGGATGTGTGGCAGATATTGAGAGGCAGGTATTGATCTGTTGCTGGTTGTTTTACTTTTTACCTTGACTGCTGATTATACCATATACGCGATATTTCTATTATATGTTTTATCGTAATTTTAACTGCTGTTCAGTTAAATCCAGAGTCATGAGTTTGAGATGGGCAGGCGTATAATTCATTAATTAAATTCAAAGGTGCTAAAGTTGCCTGGCGATGGTGCTGGATTTAGAATCTGAAGCTAACTTCATGGTATAGCTCATTTTAATCTACAACACTTTGGAGGAATGATGGTTATAAATATAGTAAATCCTTCTCACTCAAGAAATTAATTAATTAATTTGCTAAGTACACTACTACCTGCTACCCGTTTTTTTTAGTTATAATAAAAATCCGTTAGAAATATCAAATGTTTTTAAGTAAACTTAAGTCCTTTAAAGTCATTTTAAATATCCTGAAAGCAGCTTTAAAGGAGTTTTAAACACCATTTCCAGTTTGCAGCAAAAGCTTAAAAGGCTTGGTGGCATCTTAACTGAGGATAGAGGATATGCTATAACTGGCATCCAGATACTGAGAATGCCATTTCTTAGGCTGGCACATAGCAGGTGCAACACCCTTTGAAGGACACGCTTCCTGGGTTTGGAAATATTGGCACTTACAAAAAAAGAAGTATTCAGCACAATATTCAGGTCCTATGGCTTTACTGTATATGTTATTACAATTTTTGAACTTAGCTTGGTAGCAAATTGGTATCCAGAACAATTTCTTAAGAACATTGTGGCAATGTTTTGTTGTTGTTGTTATTACTGTTGGATGTATGTTTTTTTGTTTTCTCTGTTTTGCATTTTATTCTTGTTGATAAAACATTATATATATCTGGTGTTTGTCATCTTCCAGCTGGTGTTTTCAGCTTCGTGCTTTGAGCAGCACGAAGCTGAAAGCACCAGCCTGAAGATGATGAATGTGACTTCGTCGAAACGTCGCCAAGACACTTCCAATTTTACGCGGGAGAAAACCCGAACAACCAAAGACCTACACACACACACACACACACACACACATATATACACATACACACACACATATAGATATATAAACACTGTGGCAAAAAAGCAAGATTCTGGTAGTGCCTAGTATCTTTCTGATAGCTACAATGCTTTGGTCTATCAGAGTTTATAGAACAAATTCAAAGTTAATTCATACGCAGTATAAAGCAATGATCTAAAGTTTCCCAGTATATGGATCATAATGACAAGCTTACAGTATTCTGTTCATGACCAGCCAAAATGGTGAAGTAGACAGAACTAAATGATGAAGTAGACAGGAAATTATTTGTTCCAATGCCTCTGTTGATAGTGATTGTTCTAAAGTAGAACAGTAGAACCAGATTTTACACCTCCTCCTTCAGAGAGAAGGTAATATGGTTCAAAAATTTAACCTTCCTAAATTCCAGACAAGGGCTTTGCCAATCCACAATGGCTCAACTTATTAGCTTTGGTGTTGCCCAGTATCACAGGTCTGGATCTGACCATCCTTTTATTATGATGCCAAGTGTTACCGAAGGGGATTTGGCTGTCATTGGCATATTGATTAAACTTTATTCCAAATCTTGTCATTTTCAGATACATTTTGGTAGTATTTGAGTATTATTGAGAATTATCATGGGGACAAAGTATGATCACTTTGTGGGAGATAGTGTCATACTACTGTCCTCTAGATCTAGCTTTGCACAATGGAACACAAATTACTGAAACCCTGTACTAATTCCTAATCCACAGAGCTAACTAGAAGAATTCCATGATAAACAATATCAATAGCCACTAAGAGATCTAG